AGTGAGGAGTCCAGGATGACCGTTAGGTTGTGAGCCCGAGGGACTGGGAAGATGGTATTGCCCTCAAAAGTAATTGGGAAGGTGGGAATGTGGGGAGGGTTTGGGGAAAAGATAATGAGTTTAAAATGTCTAGTGGACATTCAGTTGGAGATGTTTGAAAGGCAGTTGGAGATAGGAAATTGGAGGTCAGCAGAGGATTTGGGGCAGGAAAGGTAGATTTGAGAATTATCAACATAGAGAAGGCAATTCAATCCATGGGAGCTGATGAGATCAGCTAGTCTAGAGGGAGAAGAGAAGACCCAGAAGAGAACCCTAAGGGACACTCATGGTTAGAGGCATGATCTGGAGGAGGATCAGCCAAGGAGACAGAGGGAGATGTCAGAGAGGGAGGAGGAGAACCAGGAGAGAGGGGTATCTGGAAAACCTAGAAGGAAGAGAGTGTTGAGGAGGGGAGAGGAATGCACAGTGTCAAAGGCTGCAGTGAGGTTAAGGAGATCAAGGATTGAGAAAAGACCACTGGATTTGGTAATTAAGAGATCATTAGTAACTTTGGAGAGAGCGGATGCAGTGGAATGATAAGATCAGAAGCTGGATTGTAAGGGGTTAGAAAGGGAATACCAGGCCACACCAGAGTGCTTCCCTTTGCTGACCCCTCTGCCACCTCTCAAATGCCTGCCTGCCTTTTCCCAATATGAGCTCTACATCACACTTGCCTTTTTATCAACTGAAATGACCCCAAAGAATATGTATTACCCTAAAATATATTTTTATAAGATATCACTATTAATAAATTTTAGAATTATAATAATAATATAAAAATTTAATATTATATAAAAATAACCCTAACCCTAAAATGCTGGGCTGCTCCCTCCTAAGGACCTCGAGGGAGGCCTTGCTGGCTGACTTGTCCCCCCATTAGAAGGTGAGCTCCTGGACAGCAGGGACCACTTTGCTTTTCTGTTTGTATCCTCAGCAGATAGCAGAGTACTGGGCATATGCTAATAATACATGCTTTCTCTTTCATTCACTTACAAGTCTTCTCCCAGGAGGTGCTTCATGGATGTTCTATGCATTTTGCTGAGTTGAAGAGAAGTATGTGACTCTGTGGGCGTTGATAACAGCAGATCCAAGGCCCACTTTGGTAGCAGAGGCAATGGTGAGCCTGCAGCCCAGTACCATAGGATGTGGCCAGGGGGTTTCACCATCAGGAGAGACAGGAGATCCCCAGAGCTGGAAAGGTGGAGAGTGAGTATAGGAAAAAGTCTGAAATGCCTAACTTGAAAAAAATAACCCAGTTATGTCCTGCACTTTGCTGCCGAAAATTTTAAGACTAGGTTTTGTTTTGTCAAAGCCTTCTTATAAAAGAACTTTAATCCATATTGTCAGAGAGAACAGATGAACCACCAAGCTAAGTGAAAATAGTAAAAGGTCGGCACTAAATTGTAACCATGAACTACTTAAGAGTTAGAAGCTGTGACCTAACTCTCCAGGTTGGGATGGTAAGAACAGTGGGAAATGATGAGGTCTGGTATTCCTGTAGTAAGCCATACTCAGACCTAGGCAGCTCCTTCCCTTCAGTGGTTTCTCCCAATAGGAATTAGAATATATAGAAGCTGGGGTTATATAGATTACTTATACATACATATGATATGTGTGTTTTGTACACACATGAATACACCTATCCATACACACACATCTATTATAAGCAGGAACAAGTAAAGTCACTTAACATCTCAGTGCCTGAGAGACAGTAAAAACTTCCTTATAAATGATGAGTGAGAGAGACAGGATTGATGAGAAACCAGAAATCTTTTTGGCTGACCTTCTCAGAAAGTCATCAGGAGGCTTGTACCTTCTACCAAGCAAGTGAACAGGCAGCAGGCTAGCCTCTTATCTATCCTGGTGCAATAAAACTTGATAAACTTATCAGTTCATCCTAACACTTGGTATAATGGAAAATACTGGACTTGGGTTTAAAACTAGACCTTTTTTTCTTATTGAACAACCATAACTTATTTTAAGTGGGCATTAAGTAATAAACAGAAATATAAGCAAATTCTAAAGAAAGATAAACTTCCCAGAAAGTGGGGTAAGAAGAGGGGAACAGAGAAATATCAGTCTGGTATTCAATCTCTCAATATCAACTTTAGGCTGTCTTGATTGCTAAGGAGTGAGGAATTGGTTGGTTCCTTTGATCTCTGGTTGCCCCTCAACCCTCTAGCCTGTCTCTCATTGTTTTGTTTTGTTTTATTTCAAACTTACCCCATAGGAGAAGCTCTGTACAAATCTCCATGCCCTTGCTTATTTCTTGCTTCTCAAAAGATTTCCACTGTCCCCTTCCTTCAGGACAAAGGAAAAGCAAATTATCGTCTCTTGAAACACTCCCAGCCCCATAGTTCAAAGGGGTCAGGTAGGAGAGATATCAGATAGATACCCAAAGACATTGATTTTAGTGACCTACTACCTTAACCTCATACTTACTTCTCTCCTCTATATGCCTTTACCCATTGAGTTCTCTATGCTTAGAATGGACTTCTCTGCACCCCTCTTCCCCCAACCCTTAACCACTATCTTTGCCTATTGAAGCCTCTCTCTTCATTTGAGGCCAAACTTATCTCCTATAAGATGTTTTTTTCTGATCCTCTCAGCCTAATATGAATACCCTCTCCTCAAATTTCTTTTATTTTTAAATTTAAACTTCTTTATTTATTTTTAGTTTTCAACATTCGCTTTTATAAGATTTTGAGTTTTAATTTTTCCCCTCCCTCCTCTCCCCCCTCCCCAAGACAGCATGCAATCTGATATAGGCTATACATGTACAATCATATTAAACATATGTCCACATTAGTCATGTTGTGAAAGGAGAATCAGAACAAAAGAGAAAAAAACATGAGAAAGAAAACAACAACAACAACAACAACAAAAAACAAAAAAGAAAAAATAGTATGCTTCAATCTGCATTCAGCATCCATAGCTCTTTCTCTGCAGGTAGATAGCATTTTCCATTATTACTCTTTTGGAATTGTCTTAGATCTTGCATTGCTCAGAAGAGCTAAATCTAACAAAGTTGGTCATCACATAATGTTGCTGTTACTGAGTACAGTGTTCTCCTGGTTCTGCTCACTTCACTCAGCATCAGTTCATGCAAATCTTTCCAGGTTTTTCTAGAAGCTGCCACTCACCATTTCTTATGGAACCATAGTATTTTGTTACATTCATACACCACAACTTGCTCAAACATTCCCCAATTGATGGACATTCCCTCAATTTCCAATTCTTTGCCATCACAAAAAGAGCTGCTATAAATATTTTTGTACATGATGGTCCTTTTCCCTTTTTTATGATCTCTTTGGGATACAGAGATGAGTCCTTTTTCAAGGATGCATTAGTCTACATGACCTCTGAAGCTCCTTCCAACACTCCTTTTCTATAATTCTTTTTATGCTTTTCTTGAGTTTTGTATTTGGAAGTCAAATTTTCTATTTAGCTTTGGTCTTTTCATCAAGAATACTTGAAAGTCTTCTATCTCATTGAAAGTCTATTTTTTTTCTGTGGAAGGATTATACTCAGTTTTGCTGGGTGGGTGATTCTTGGTTGTAATCCTAGCTCCTTTGACCTCCAGAATATCATATTCCAAGCTCTCTGATCCCTTAATGTAGAAGCGGCTAAATCTTGTGTTATCCTGATTGTGTTTCCACAATACTTGAATTGTTTCTTTCTGGCTGCTTGAAATTTTTTTCCCTTGACCTGGGAACTCTAGAATTTGGCTATAATATTCCTAGGAGTTTTCCTTTTGGGATCTCTTTCAGGAGGTGATCTGTGAATTCTTTCAATTTCTACTTTACCCTCTGGTTCTAGAATATCAGGGCAGTTTTCCTTGATAATTTCTTGAAAGATGATGTCTAGGCTCTTTTTTTTTTTTATCGTGGCTTTCAGGTAGTCCAATAATTTTTAAATTATCTCTCCTGGATCTATTTTCCAGGTCAATTGTTTTTCCGATGAGATATTTCACATTTTCTTCTATTTTTTCATTCTTCTGGTTTTGTTTTATAGTTTCTTGATTTCTCATAGAGTCATCAGCTTCCATTTGCTCCATTCTAATTTTTTTTGTCCTTTTTTTGTGAGGCAATGGGGTGAAGTGACTTGCCCAGGGTCACACAGCTAGTAAGTGTCAAGTGTCTGAGGCCTGATTTGAACTCAGGTCTTCCTGAATCCAGGGCTGGTGCTCTATCCACTGTGCCATCTAGCTGCCCCTCCATTCTAATTTTTAAGGAGTTATTTTCTTTGGTGAGCTTTGGGACCTCCTTTCCCATTTGGCCAATTCTGCTTTTTAAGGCATTCTCCTCATTGGCTTTTTGGACCTCTTTTGCCATTTGAGTTAGTCTATTTTTTAAAGTGTTAGACCTTCTTCTTTTAACAAATTACCTCTGTGCCTCAGTTTCCTAATTCAGCTTAATTCAACAAACATTTACTAAGTGTGTGCTACACAGGAGGCACTGTGCTAGAGATTGGGGTAACAAAGACAAAGCCAGACTAGTCCCTGCTCTTGATGAGTTTATTCTCTTCTGTTAATATAAGTAAGTTGAGAAGTTAACAGCAAGACAGCTAGAGGATTCGTAGAGCCTTCCTCCCAGGAAGTCACACTTGAATGAAGCTAAGGTGAGGAGGGGGCACCCTGCCCCTGCCTTTGCCCCTGCCCATATGAGAGTCTGGGCAGAGGCATGGGGAGGCCAAAGATGGATTGCTCAGTTTGGAGAGCAGCCACTGAAATGAAGGCCTCTACTCCATTGTCTCTAAGCAGAATAGGATACAGACCAGTAATGGGCAGCTTGGCAAATTTAACCTGTTTTAAACCTCCATTTTCATAATTTGAGACATCAAAATTCATCCACCTCAATCAATTAGGTCCCAATTTCTTTTTTTTTTCCAGATTGACCACCAATAGTTTGAAAAGTCATGGCTGTCTGTCAGTAGAAGGTAAGAGAAACCTAGAGATCAGCATGTCTTTTTTCCTGGGCAGATCCCAGTTAGATTCAAAGGGAGACATTGTTGGAGGTACCATAGATGTCAACACTTTGAAGATGGTTGGTATGTTGAAACATGTTGATCAATAACTAAACCTGTTTTTATGTTATTCTCCAACTCCTTGAAGCCTGTTAATTTAAGGCTTCCTTTAAATGCAGTGCCCTCTTTGCCTCTCCCTCCTACAGTCTCTCTCTTCCAAATGCAGCTCAGGTGCTACTTTATACAGAAAACCTTTCCTGACTTCTTCCCACCTCGACCCCCACCTGCTACAGTCTTTCCCACTAGCAACCTTGTATTTATTCTCTTTATATCTGTATATCCTTCAGTGTGTAAGTATTTGTTATCTCCCTTATTAGAATGTAGGCTCTTGAGAGTAGGGATCATTTTATTCTCTGTATTTATAACCATGTTGCAAGCACTTCATAAATGTTTGTTAGTTGATTAAATAGAAACTAAAGATGAAATTATTCTATCAGGAATTAAAATAAAAAATAAAAAAATGTTTTATTCTGATTATTTCTTTAAAGCTGAAAACTTCTTTAAAAAGTGACTAAGTGTGTCAATTCAAAATTCAAATTACTCTGGGTTCAACTGAATTTTGTGTAGGTTACATGGCGTCAAACATCCTCATGGGCATCTTCAGTTATGAAGATCTCAAGCTGCAGGATGAATGGAAAGTGCATCTGTATGCGTCAGATAAAAGGTATTGTAACACAGGCCTTTCTTTGAATACCTTACATTTTTAGTCTATATTCTTGTATATTTTCTAAAGCCGAGTTAAAAAACCGTAAGTTTATTTTTTTCCAGTTAGGTATTTTTTGTGGCATAGTTCATTTGAAAGAGGAAAAAGAAGAATGTTAAAATCTGTTTTGTGATATGACCTAACTATTGTCATATTTACTGAACTATTCTTTTATGATTTAGTGACATTTTTGTCCATAGAGATTTAAAGTGAGATATTTTCCAAGTAATGATTTCCAGATTGACCACTCCAGAGTTGATAAAAATAGGAATGAAACTCCAGAAATTCTTTACCCAGCAGTCTGACACAAGTAAGCAGGCTCTCTCTATGTGGGAACCATTTCCTTACCTTCCCCTGAAGGCAACAGCCAGTCACCTAGAGAAGAATTCATTAGAACTGTGTAATAATTAAGAGAATGCATTCTCATATACTGTCTTTTCTGTTAGAGCTGTTAGTCACAACCTGGAGAGACATCTACGTCAGGCCATATTCATTAAGCATTTCCTTGGTCATAAATTTTTAAAAAACTATTTCCTAAATGAAGTGTCATATTTGTTCATTAAAGAAGTAAAAAGTTAGATACATATGCTTGTGTAGATAAGATTTTTCATTCTACCTGAGCAAGAAATTTGAAAAGGAATTGGCTAAATGTTTTTATTATTTCAAAAAGAGATCCATAATCAAATATTTTCATAATGAATTCCATCATCTCTGGATCAATTGTATGCACCCAAATTTTAGCATTTTAAAAATAGCTTTGCCATTTCTGTCATTTTTTCCTACAATATACTTTGATACTTGAGAAGCAGCTGGTGGCACTGTGTATAGAGAGTTGGCCTGGGGTCAGGAAGATTTGAGTTTCAAATTTAACCTCAGACACTTACTAGTTGTGGGACCCTGGGCAAGTCACTTAACCTTTGTTTGCCTCAGTTTCCTCTTCTCTAAGATAAGGATAATAATGGCACTTAGCTCCCAGGGTTGTTGTGAAGATCAAACGAGATAATAATTGTAAACCACCCAGCAATCCTTAAAGTGCTATATAAATGGTAGCCATTGTTATTATTATTTTCATGATTATCATTATTATGACCACTCTTACTATTTGATCCTTCAGTGAATTGATGGTTTAATCCTTTTGCCTGTTCTCTCTACTAGTCCTTGTCACACAGCCATCCTATGTAATTTTTGTCCCTATTCTTCCACATATTCTTCATCCAGGATGTGCTCAGTACACTGGTGGCCTTCCTTTAGGGCTGTACCAGTGTAGTCCCAGAGCATGTGCAACCCCTTGTTCCTGCCATTTGTCAGCCCACCCTCTTCTTGGGAGGATTGTGTGTGTGTGTGTGTGTGTGTGTGTGTGTGTGTGTGTACGTGCATGCATTCTGGATGATGTTTTTGTTGTGTTTTTTTTTTAATACCACTTCTTGTGTGCATGTCACTATTGGTGATATGGTTGTTAGACCCATGATTTTCCTTTGGGACACCCTTTGGAATCATGGTGCTTCGTGATTCACAGCCATATTTCATCACTGGGAGAATATTGGTCTCAAAGGAATGAGTTGTTGCAGTGGTGAACAGCTGGGGACCATTGAAGATACCATTCAGTTTCCCAGTGGCAACCCAGTCCCATTCAGTGCTATCAGAACCGTGTGTCCATCTCTTGTAGGTGATTAAAAGGTGGCATCGACATCTGCCTTACTCTAGAGCCCTCTTCTCCCTTTGCTTGCATCCCCTTCCTAGACCTCATGTCTTAGCATCTTTTTCCCTAAACATCTGCTGGTGGTGGATGGTGGCAGTTGAGTTCTTTATACCATTAGTTTTCTCATATACCCCACCATGTTCATGTTCAGCCAGACACTGAACAGCAGTCTCGATGCTGCTGCTGCTGCTGTTACATCTCTGTTAAATAACGCTCAGAGGAGAGGGCACTTCTGAATTAATGGCTTGCCATTTTCTTGGAGTATTGGATGCTGCTCATCATTGCCACTGGCCTAGAATTTTGAAGGTTCTGTCAGCTTGCCACATATCCTTATTTCAGATTTCATTGCCATGAAATCACATGATACTCGTTTGTTCCTTTTTTTTTCTAGATAAACAACTAAGATTTATTTAAAAAATCACTTCAACAAAGTAGCAGGATAAATATACACAAAGCAATAGCAATTTTGTATATTACAAATATTACTTAGCAGGAAGGTAAAAATTCCATTTAAAACAACTACTTATATATTTAGAAGTATATCTACCAAGATATATACAGGAACTATATGAATCCAGCTACAAAATACTCAAAACAATATTAATTGATACCTAAGTAATTGGAGGAAAAGAATTGTTCATTGGTAGACTAAGCCAAAAGGAAAAACGACAAAACCCTAAATCAATTTACTTGTTTAACATCATACCTTTCAAACTACCAAAAGATTATTTTTTTTACTATGAATTTAGTAAATGAATCTGTGTTTTAATCAAGTCACAATAGCATCTATAGAGGTCAAAAAACTAGCATGGAACCAAGCTAAATAAAGTCCCTTTGCTCCCCTTCTTAGTCTGAAGCCTTAGTCTTATTCTGAAGCCCTTCAACTAATTTGAAAGAGAAAACCCTATCAGTCTGTTTCTGTCATTTCTTTTTTGTAAAAGCTTGAAAACTAATGTGTTAAATTTATTACATATTTTAAAGCCAGTGGCTTTATAATAGAGATTCATGTTTTCATACACAATCTTCTTTCTATTCATTCTTCTCCACTGCTTCCTTTCCAGACTTTCTCCACCATGCCACAGCAGGCTTCTTGCCTTGGAAGATCACTACCTATGTGGCCCCTCCCTCTTATTGGTCAATTCCTCTGAGACCTCCATTTTTTTAAGTAAAAAAAAAAAGGATGTTTCAATCTGTATTCAGACACCATCAGTTCCTTCTCTGGGGATGGATAGCATTTTTCTTCATAAGTCCCTCAGAATTGTCATGGATCATTGTATTGCTGAGAATAGCTAAGTCATTCATAGCTCATCATCCTACAATATTGATGTTATTGTGTACACAGTACATTTCATTTTGTATCAGCCCATGCAAGTCTTTCCAGGTTTTCCTGAGAGCATTCTACTCATCATTTCTCATAGTAGAGTAGTATTCCATCATAATCACATACCACGACCTGTTCAGCCATTGCCCAATTGATGGGCATCCCTTCATTTTCTAATTCTTTGACCCCAGAAAAGAGCTGCTATAAATATTTTTGTACATATAGCTTCCTTTCCTTTTTGTTTTTTATCTCCTTTGGGATACAGACCTGGTAGTGTTATTGCTAGGTCAAAGGGCATGCATGGTTTTATAGGCCTTTGGGCATAGTTCCAAATTGCTCTACAGAATGGTTGAATCAGTTCAAAACTCCACCAACAGTGCATTAAAGTATCATTTTTTTTCCACATCCTCTCCAACATTTGTCATTTACCTTTTCTGTCCTATTAACCAATCTAATAGGTATGAGGTAGTACCTCAGAATTGTTTTAATTTGCATTTATCCAGTCAATAGTGAGTTAGAGTATTTTTTCATATGGCTATAGATAGCTTTGATTACTTCATCTGAAAACTGATCATATCTTTTGATAATTTATCAATTGGGGAATGGCTCTTACTTTCATAAATTTGACTCAGTTCTCTATACATTTGAGAAATGAGGACTTCATCAGAGAAACCTACTTCAAAATTTTTTCACAGTTACTATTGCTAACTGTATTTCCCTCCATCCTATTCCTCCCTTTTATTCTATTCTCTCTCTCCTTTCACCCTGTCCCTCCTCAAAAGTATTATGCTTCTAACTACCCCATCCCCCAATCTGCCCTCCCTTCTATCTTCCCCGCCTTTCTCTTATCCCCTTCCCCTCCTATTTTCCTGTAGGGTAAGAGATTTCTATACCCAATTGAGTGTGTATGTTATTCCATCTTTCAGCCAATTCTGATGAGAGTAAGGTTCATTTGCTCCTGCTCACCTCCCCCCTCTTCCTCTCCACTCAAAAAGCTTTTTCTTGCCTTTTTTATGTGAGTTAATTTACCCCTTCTACCTCCCCCTTTCTCTTTTTCCCAATACATTTCTCTCTCACCCATTAATTTAATTTTTTGGATATCATCCCTTCATATTCAACTCACACCTACGCCCCCTGTCTATATACACTCTTTCTAACTATCCTAATAATGAGAAAGGTCTTATGAGTTGCAATTATCATCTTCCCATGTAGGAATGTAAACCTCCACTGCTGCCAGTGATTCCATGGCCCTGAGGCGTGCTCCGGCTTTACTGGGGCCTAGTCTGCCCTGGTGTGGCCTGTGCTGGACTGCACTCCTCTCTCACTCTCGTGCAACAGACCTCTCCTGCTGACTTTTCAAGTTGTCTTTGGCTGGTAATTTGTTTCACTCCATCTTTTTGTAGGTTCTGCTGCTCTAGAATTTGTTTAGAGTCATTTTTGAAGACATTTGGAGGGGTTTGAGGAAGAACTCAGGTGAGTCTGTGCTTTTATGCCACCATCTTGGCTCTGCCTCTCAACACTCCCTTGTTTCCACGGATCTAATTTCCACTAAAAACCTTGACTCTTTTTTGTTTAGAAGAATAAAATAGGGTGACGGCAGTCCCAGGAGTTGCTCTGCTTCCCAGGTTCCAGGTACAGGCTTGCCAAGGGGCCCAGACAGCAGCTGCTGTAGCTCCGCACCTCAAGAAATTTGCTATCTACAGATGGGACCCAGACAAGCCTGGAGATAAACCCCAAATGCAGACCTATGAAATCGATCTGAACAAATGTGGCTCAATGGTGTTAGATGCCTTGATCAAGATTAAAAATGATATGGATGCCATGCTGACCTTCCAAAGATCATGCCAAGAAAGCATTTGTGGTTCCTGTGCAATGAACATCAATGGGGTCAACATGCTGGTGTGCACCAGAAGAATTGACTACAACCTCAGCAAAGTCTCTAAAATCTACCCTCTTCCCCATATGTATGTGATAAAGGATCTTGTCCCAGATCTGAATAACTCCTATGCTCAGTATAAATCCATTCAGCCTTGCTTGAGGAAGGATGAATCCCAGGAGGGCAAGGAACAATATCTTCAATACATAGAAGATCGAGAGAAACTGGACGGTCTCTATGAGTGCATTGTCTGTGCCTGCGGCAGCACCAGCTGCCCCAGTTACTGGCAGAATGGAGGATCCGGAGTCCTCATGCAGGCCTATCGCTGGATGATTGACTCCAGGGATGACTTCACAGAAGAGTGGCTGGCCCAGTTACAAAATCCTTTCTCTTTGTACCGAAGTCACACCATCATGAGCTGTACCAGGACCTGCCCTAAGGGACTGAATTTCAGGAAAAGCAATAGCTGAAATCAAGAAGATGATGGCAACCTAAAAGGAGAAGAAAGCGGGCGTTTAGCCGTCTCCAGCCTTATCATGAATTGTAGCCCCCCACAGGGCTGAACCTAATTTATGTCTGATTTCATCTGTTTTTCCACAAATATTGCATGTCCAATGACAACTTCAAGAGATAAATAAAGAACATGCTACTTTATTAACAAAATATTGCATTTTTGACAGAAGCACAGAAAATTTGGGAAGATGGTAAGTATTAATATCAAAATTAGTTTGTGTCTTCTGATAAGGTTACAAAAAATTGTACTTTGTCTTGAGCTATTATTCTTATAACACTTCAAACCATGTCTCACTGAAATGATACATTTATTATTTTGTTCCTGACTATGGGCAGACCAAATGCGGGAGGACAGTTTAGAGACCAAGAGTATGTTTAATGGGCCTCTTTCTGAGCTTAGCCACTGTCTTCCCTGACTGGGTAAGACCAATCGTATTAAGAAATCCCTGACACAATTCTTGGGTAGGTATTTGGAGGCTGAAGTTTCAATTGCCATGGTTTGCTATTTCCTGACCTGCAGGGAGAGGGTTGGCCTCTTCACTTCACTTTTGTGTTTCTTTTCTGAATCGGTTTTTCCCAAGTTTTATCGTAACCAATACTTTGTCCCAACGTGCTATAGAAATTGTTACTAAGAAAGGAGGGATTGTCCTCTGTCAATTAACCCAGGCTAGAGAAGTCAGTTTAACAATCAACACATGAGAAAGAACAGCTAGACTCTGCTGCCTCAGGCTGAGCATCGTGGGCATCCTCAAAATTCCCTTTATTCTAAATACTAACATCAAGAGAAAGCAGGGAAAGTAAGTCCTTTGTGATCCTACAGTAGTGGTTGGACGGAGAATGAGGGATGGAAGGATGTGGAGTCCAGAGGGAGAATGGTGAGTCTTTGAAAAGGTCACCTATAGGGTCAAGACTGACAAGGGGAAAATGAGACGTGGGTGTAATGCTGGGAGAGAAGTGAATCAGGGATGTTGCATTGAGAGGGACCTGAGGAGGCCCAGAAAGGTGAAGTAACTGGGATTCAAACCAATGTCCTGTGATTCCCAATCATACCATGGTGCCTCCCGTGTGATGCATTGGGAAGGTGGGAGGCCATATAGGTTCTGCTAAAGGAGGAAAGATAGGGAGGTGGAGGAAGAGAAGGATGGAAGAGCCTGATCATGGGGAAAGATTTGGAGTTAGAGGTGTGAGGGTTCAGAGTACTGGTGCTGAGGCATTACTCTTCTCTTGGGCAACCAAAGAAGAGGTGAGATAAAGATCATGAAAGATGAGAAGAATGATGACCTGGGAGGCCAGAATGTTCCAGGGAACATCATGGTCAATATTAAAGTCTTCAAGTATGAGGCAGAGGTGGTAGGAGAGAGAAAAACTTCTAACCAGGTCCTAAATCGTTAAAAAAAAAAAAAGGAAGACAAACATCTAGGCAGGATCATATAGAATATACATCACAGTGGCTGCCCTTTACCTAAAAGATCAAATATTAAATTCTCTAATTAGCTTTTATAACCTCTCCCCTTTCATCCTTTCTAGTCTTACACCATATTCCCTGCTTGCTCTCTGATCTAGTGACTGGAGCCTTTTTGCTGTTCCTCACACAAAACCCTCCATCTCTCAGTTCCAGGTATTTTCTCTGCCTGTGTCCCTGGAAGGCGCTCCCTCCTCCACTCTACCCTTGGCTTTCTCCTAATCCCAGATAAAATCCCCCTTACTCAAGAGCCTTTCCCCACCCTCCTCACTGCTGTGCCTCCCTCTGTTATCTCCTCCTTTTGACTGGGAGCTCCTTGAGGCAAGGGACTGTTTCTGCCTTTCTTTGTATCCTCAGCATAGGGCCTGGCACACAGTAGAGGCTTAATAAGTGCTTTTTGCCTTGACCCCACATCAAAGGAAGGGAGATTATTCAGGGATAGGGTTGGGGTACAGTGGTAGTGGGGAGCAAAGCCCCTCCAGCTCCATCCAGCCCCAAGGCATCAGGGGCCTGGTACAAGAAAAGGAGCAGTCAGCAGAAGTGGTCACAGTGACAGGGAATGCAGCATTTTCTAGAGGGATTCTATGAGGGCGGGGAAATGGAAGGTTTGGGAGAGGACAGGCTCTTTGGTGGGAGAGTGTGAAGAGCAGGGTAGGGTTCAGAGCAGCAGGGTAAAAAGATTTTCACCTCCCTAAATGGTGACCTCGAATCCCAGAGACAAGAGGGACCAAGAGGGAGCAATTTGCAAACTATTGAACAGGAAATGCCAGGTGAGCAGGTCACTTAGTTCATTAGATTAGAGGAGCAGAGAATCAGTGACAATGGTTTGTGAAGGAGCTCCCTCATCTTGGGCTGTGGGTGGGTAGATGCAACCCCATCATGCTTCTGTCCCTCAGCATTGATGTCTTTGGGACAGGAATGGTGGGCACAAGGACCATTTGGTGAAGGGGGGGCCTTTGGGTCCTGGGCAGCAGGTAGCCACTCTGTTGTTCAGTAGAATGACAAAGAGGAGGCAAGTCTGGGGCAGTGAAGGTAGCAGGGCCTCTCCCTCTTCTAGCTCAGGAGCTCCCACCTTCTCAGGCCTTTGGCAAAATCAGAGATCAGATGCATCCTCTTAATCTCTGTATGTAGGACCTTGCCCTACCCCACATACCTTCCCCATATTCAGACTGAAAAGGGAGCAGGTATCAGGAATTCAGCACCTCCTGACTCCTCAACATCATTGGTTAGTATCTGCAAGGACAGAGTACCTTTTCAGTGGTCATTACAGTGAGCCAGTTGGGAGGGGAGGAGACTTTCAATTCCAGGCCCTGAGTGGGGCCTACCCACCTCTGGCTATTGCAATAATATCTAAATATATTTACCTAATTACAAAAACAAGAAAATTTAAATAAAAATCTAAATGTATGTGGATTTACATAGTAGTAAAAATGGCATCTTTAACATGTTTTTCTATTCGCCTTTGGGTCACGTTCAAGTGATAATTCAACATATGTGGTCCAGACATTGGATTTTCATCTAGGTCACAATTCCATGGTCACCAAACCTCATGGTACTTTAGAGAGTCCTATGGCAACAATAACCAAGATCGCAAGACATTGCCATGGGCAGGGAGTGGCCAGTGTGAAACAGCAGTTCAATTATGCCACTGCCACAAGGAATGAAGGTCAGTAACTCTAGGTGTCTTCTAGCTGGGAGCCTGTTTATTATGTCTCAGAGTTCAAACATTGGTAACATTGTTTTTTAATTAATTAATTATTTTTCTTTTTAGGCAATTGGGGTTAAGTGACTTGCCCAGGGTCACACAGCTAGTAAGTGTCAAGTGTTTGGTCTGATGCTGGATTTGAATTCAGTTCCTCCTGACTCCAGGGCCAGTGCTCTATCCACTGCGCCACCTAGCTGCCCTGGTTTTTTAATTTAAAAAACTCATTTTACTTGGATACATTTGGCAAACCCATTTACATAGCATTTGAAGATTCACAGAAAACTCTCTAAAGGTCTCATTAGGTAAGTAGTGCAAATATTGTTTTCTTCTTACCCAGGAGGAAGCTGAAGCCTAGAGAGGTTATAGGTTTGTTTGTGGTCAGTGGAAGGAGGACAGAGGCAGGTATTCTTATTGGCAGCAACAGGGACAACTTGGTCAATCCATTATGGTACGAGAACCCCAAAATATGCAGGATAACCTCCAAGGCTTAGGGTTGTTCTAAGCTGCACTGAGTTCTAAGGAGAAAGAGTTGCCCTAAGACTTTGAGAACACTTCCATAAACTGCAGGTTATAATTTAACAATTTAATACCTCTAAGATTCAGCTCTAAAATCCCTTGAAGTTAGAGAAATTTATTTGAAAAAAATAAATGGAATGACCTAGGGTCATTGTGTCAGTTCCATTTTGGTACTAATCTAGGTAGGCCTGATCTCACAATGTTTGTAGTCTAATCTATTTTTAGAGTTTTTATAAAAGTTTTTCATTCATCTAATTTTTCTAATTTGAGCAAGGTCATTTATTTTCACTGTTACATTCCAGAAGGCTCATTGGAGTTTGGCTCTTTAATTAAATATTGGTTAAAAATCATTTTTCCTTTTACCCACAGCACAACTCTAAAGAGTTCTGTTCTGTTGAGTGGATTCAGAGGAGGTTCTAGTTATAGCCATGAGACGGAGACCATCTTTGCCCTCCCACAGATGCAGCTGGACTTAAAATCCATTCAGGATTTGAATTCTCCAGGAATTGAATTATTAAGGAGCCACAGGAGCCTTCCTTGCAGGAATAATTCATCTGAAATAATTAAGTTACCGGTCTCAGGAGAACACAGCCAGCCCGGAGTCTAGTCCAGAGGCAAGGAACACCATCCTCATCCAATCATGTTTATTCACTCTCCTTTTAATAAGATGTATTTTTTTGTTGAGGATGTATTTATCTGGTCAGATATTTAACATTCACTTAACAAATATTGTCAAGAGTTGAGAGCAAAAATTTTTAAATGACTGTTTCAGAAATTATTATGCATATTGAATAATTTTTATCCCTTAAAATCTGGTTCCTACCAGAATTAACCTGCTGTCTAGCAAATATTACATGTTCTAAGTAAGATACCTGCTACCTTCCTGATATACTTTGTGTTCAACTTATAACTGTGGTGATTCTTACAATTAAAGCTGGATTCTAAGGAAACTCAAACTAGCTTTGTTTTCATATATAATTAGATATAAAAATGGAGATAGTTTATATATGCATGTGTGTATGCACACACATATATGCATAGATAGATATGTAGATATATATTACTACTAACGATGAGGTACTAATTCCCATAAGCTAAATATAAAATTAATCACCTCTATATGTATGTATATACACACACATATGTCTTCCCCTGGGAAAGAAGAAGGAACTGTATTAAATTAAAATTTTTTCTCTAAAAAAAGTTTTATCATTTCCAGACACGAACATCAAGACAAAAGTGGAATGTAGTGTGGTAACAGAATTCACTGACCGCATTTGTGTGACTAT